CCGTGGCGCGGGAATTTTCAGTCCGCTTTTCTGTCTAAATTCATTTTTAACCCTGATTTTGCTCAGCATTTTAAGTGTCGATTGATAATTTCGAGCCTTTTTCTGATTTATTGTTATTTGGGCTAAAATAAGAAAATAAGTAAATAAAATAAATAAAAGGTTTGGGCCAAAAATAAATAATAAAACAATAAAATAAAAAAAAGGTTTGGGCTAAAATTAAATAATAAGTTTGGGCTGAAATTAAAACTATGCTTTTACCAAACATCAAGACTAATCCATGGACTATTCAAAAATACGAATTTAATCATATACGATTTTTTAAGCACTCTCGGGATTAAATACTGAACCCGACCAATAGTGGCGGTGAAAGGTTATTCATCATAGGGTTTGGTTTTGGGGAGACATTTTTAGGTGTCTACAGTATTACATCCATGACCACAAATGTTCTATAAACCCAACTCTTAGCATAAGATTTTCTTCTAATAATGCATTTATGCAATTGGGTATGCTATGTTGGGAGGACTTAAGAGCAAGGTGACTAGGGCAATTTATCCATAAAATAGTATAAGTGTATCATAACAAGTCTCTTATAGCAGTATCTTAGAGCTAGGCATGAATACTCTAGCTCATTGGAGCTCAACTCACCTATTTCCATACAAAAGCTTAAGAAGTTCAATCTACAATTCGATATTGTATAGAAATCACACCATTAAGAAAAAAAAGGTCGTCATGCACAATTCAAAAATCATTATTTAACCAGAAAAGGTTAACCTCATCAACTTCCCAATATTACAAAGTACCAACACAATCTTATTAGTATTAGTAGAACATTTCTAGACTTATTCCCCTAATTATATTTGGGGTGTCATAAGTTTACAATTAATCATAACTTTAGATTTTAGTAATGCTTCCAATTTTCCAACAGTGGTTTACCAAAGTAAAATAGAAGAAAATGTGTTCCAAAAAGAAAAATCCTCCTTTCCTTCCAGCTAAAGACACGAGTTGAAAGTTATTATGTCATTTTCTCTGTCCATCACATCAACAATTCTCTCTTTTTCACAGCACTTCTTGCACTTGTTTTTTCCACTCTCCTTCCATTATCTCATATACATTTTATTTCTACTTTTAGAACCTGTACTAAAGTCAACCATGATGCTATTCAGATGGACACAGTAAGTGGCTAAAAAGAACCACTCCCTCCCCATGAGATCAGCTAGAATAAGGCAAGAACCAAAAGGTATTACTGAATAATTCACCAAACCTTTTCAATCATAAGTTTTTTATACCCTGTGGTGGACTATGTACTATACTAAATAAGTTTGCAAAACTGTGCTATTCAACAGCTATAGAGTGAAAAAGAAATTACTTTGCTGTTAGTCCACCCTAAACAAAAAGAGAGAATTCAGTTGGCCATCTTAGGGGTACAATATTTTGATTGTGCATGATCAGGCTTAAACTCATATACCTTTAATTGATGGACTGAAAAGTGCCTATATCACGCAACAATTAAAAATGATATTTTATAATGGCAATTAGTTGAGAGGGAAGACATTACGATCACTAATCACCCCCTAATCTCTCATAAATAGAGCAACTCCTAAATTTCACCCCACAAATCATTATCCAACATCGCACCTCCCTCTTCTTCTTTCTCACTCACCAATCACCACTTTCACCCTCAAAACAGACTAGCCCGCAAATAAACCCCCCATTTTCGCACCACCCATCACCTTCCCAAATGCCAGCCCCCAAAATTTGAGTACTTTATACCTGAATTTCGAGTATATTATTTGAATAATTCAACTAATTCAAAGTATAATTCAACTAATTCAAACTAAAATTCAACTAATTCAAACTAAAACTCAAATTTATTAACATGCATGCAATCCAATCGACACCGACTGAAAACCCTAAACCCCTAAATCCCTAAATTAGCAAAACTTTTACAAAATTCGAAATATAACAACCCTAATCTAGAAATTCGCAAGTCAAACATAAAGAACATTATTTAATCTACAGTTAAACACTTAAACCCTGGAAATGCACACCAAAATTCGCACAATTTTTCTCAAAAAAAAGTGCTCAATTTCTGAATTTAAAGAGAAGAACTAACCTTGTCGTCGCTCCATCATAAAAATGTCGAGAAGTTTGGCCAGAAACACGAATCAAAGAGGAGCTTAGCTGCTTAGCTTAGAGAAGGAAGAAGAACAGTGCCGCGAAAATGAAAACGAAAAGGAAACTTGTTTAACATCGTTTTTTTTTTTTTAATTTTATGTTTTTTTAGGAAATCAAAAACAGGAAAAAAAAAAAAAAAAGTATTTTCACTTTTTTGTTGTCAGTTTTTAAAATTATCATGATTTTAATAAGTTAGACTAATTTTTAATTTATTATATGACATATATATCATATGATTTTAAAAAACAAAAAATCAGAAAAAAAAAAACAACAGTGATGTCAAACGAATCGGAAGCTTATGAAAATGAATCACGGGAAACGAAGTAAAACCATTTTATATGTGTAGGTATACGTATATTGTATTTGCATGTTGTATTTTCCACCTTCATTAAATGTGAAATTCCATATATATCCCTGTGCTGGTCCAGCACTTTGCTGGGCTGAGCCAAGCTCCTCAATAAGCTGTTTAGCGAACAAGGCTATAGTAACTTGAATTTTCTCGAGAACCATCAATTAAAGAAACAATTGATATTGTGGAAAGTAACAATTAATTCACAATTTCTTGAGATTGTATGAAAATTATGAATATTAATCTACTCTGAGCGCACACACTGACACACACAGTTCATCAGTCTCGAATTTTCCCAATTGAAGGCAATGTTTGGTCGTCAGATAACACCATTGCTCAGGAAACTTTGCGGAGCTTCTCCAATTGCTTCGTCTTCTTGCAGAGGATTGCCTACTGCATCATCATCATCGTCATTGTCATTATGCCATACTCGTAATTAGCTTTCACTGATTGGTCGTTTTCTTCTTCAATTTTTTCTTTAATGTCAATAAAATGTTGATGCTGTTACATTTTTTTTGATTTTGGATTGATTAATAATCAAAATGTCAGGTGTTAAGAATGATTAATGTGATTTTTTTAATTTTTTTTTTAATTATGATTGGGTGTAGAATGAAGGATGAATGGTTTGTTGAAATTGAATTTGAAGAATAAATTATTGTTGGATTGTTGGAAATTGATGTTGGAGTATGTTGTATTTGATGGATTGAGTAACTTAAATCATGTAATTATTTGCTGAAATCTGTTTTACTTGTTGAAGTTGGCGTTGAAGTTTGTTTAAGGACATAGTGGTTTCTGATTATGTGTTTCTGAGAGGCGTTAAGGATTGTAGGGAAATATGGGATGCATTCATGAAGTGATAGAGTTAAAATTGGAAATGTAATTTACACTTCTCTGATAAGGATTGTGAAAACTGAAAAGTGAACACAAATGCGAAGTTGGAAATACTTCCTAATAGCGGGTACTAGTATTCGTATTCTAGCCATCATGTTAAATTTTAAGACTATTACTCCTGGATTTTCGAGGGGAGAAAATTAGAAATGATAAAATGTTCTTGAATGGACATTTTAGTTGTTTTAGTGGGCACTAGTATTCAATTTCCAGCCCTCAAGTTAATTTTTAAGACTATCACTCCTGGATTTCGAGGGGATAAAATTAGAAATGATAAAATGTACTTGAAGAACATTTTAATTGTTTTAGTTTGCTTAAGGACAATGTTGTCGAGTCTCCTTTTGTCCACAACATGACCCCTCTTATAGCTTCATGTATCTTTTATGGTTTCTTTTTGCATGCCCTTTTTGTATTTTTATAAGAGTTGTGTTTAAGTGATCTATAGCATGAATATGATATTGCTAGATCATTAAATGTACTTATATCATATTATATCTCTTAATCTACAGCTACAACTTATTTAAAAACCGCTTACATAATACTTTGTGTCATCTTCTCTGGAAAAAATATTCTGCCAAAAATGCTTACGACATCAATTCGTTTTTCTTTTCTATTTTTTGTCCTTCCGATTCAAAGATTGGAAAATAATTTTTTAAAATAAATGGAAGTGTGAATAAACAATTCACCAAAAACACATTAACGACATTTCTTTTTCCAAAACCCTCTTTTATGTGAGTTCTAAAAATTTATTGCAAAATAAATTTTTTTGTCATACTTTGTTGAAAAATATTAATTTTTTTATTTTAAATTGTGCAGCGCACGAGTACTAATCTATTTGTTACTTATTGTAATGATCAAATATCTGGTCACAAGTAGTTGCTAAGGTGGTAGAGTAGTGAAAAAAGTATACTAATATGGATATGATAGAGTGCTGTTTTCCTTTTAAGATAGTTTTATTTCAAGGAGCAATTTTGATTCATTATAGTGTTTTGTTTACCTTAATAGTTAATACTCCCTCCGTCCAGTTTACTTGCAACATTTTGACTGGACACGCTTGCCGATGCACATGTTTGACCGTTGATATCTTTTATTATATATTTCTATAAGTTATAAAAAGTTTATATTAAGAAACTATACAACATCTTACATAATTACATTGACTTTCATATACTAGTTAAAAAAGATGGTCAAAGGGAGATGTGTGAATAGTGCAAAAAGTCAAACCGTTGCGAGTAATTTGGGACGGAGGGAGTATATGCAATACTCATATTTGTAGGTCATAGCAACAATATGGATTATATTTGCTACTCTTTAACATTATGTCATTATTTTCAGGGAATATGATTTGTTATTCTCAAAATGGCTTTGAACATTCAAAAACAAGATCAGGAGGCTTGTTATGGATGTTGCTACATGGGCAAGCAGGTGGCACACATGAAACATTGGTTTATACTGTGCTAATGTTCAATTGTCCACGGCTCCACACTGTATTTTATCTTGAGAATTCTTGTGGACATTGCTATGTTTTTAAGTTGCTGAATGTATATGCTCGATACATCTTAAATTAGTTTTGACACATATTAGGGCACATAGTTTAAGGTGATAAGTTATTGTTTGAAGATGAATTTTTATTTTTATTGTAGAAGTATATGAGATAGAAGATAGCGGTGTATGGTGTTTTTATATTAATTGTTTGAGAGTATGGGGCCTAACTATTGTAGCGGGAAGACTGAACAGAGATGCATAAAAATAATTGAGGGATCTGAAAAGGAAAGTGTAAAATATAATTTAGGAGAAAGAGTTTTCATATGTTCTTTGATTCTTTGTCGACTATTGATTATAATTTATTAATTTGTCAAGTTCGAGAATCATTTTTAAGTATTCAATTACTTTTACTTTTGTAGCACTTCTCTTTGGAGGGAGCTGCTCTCTTGTTTTTGCTGAAGAAGTTTCAAATGGAAAAGCCTCTAAAACTAATGCAGGAGAGTCAGCTAATGTTGGATTACAAAGACTTGAGGATGGTTCAGTTATATCAAACGAACATACGTCTAAGTGGCGAATATTCACAGATAATGGGAGAGAATATTTTCTGCAAGTAAGCACTCTGTTGATTTTTACAAATACTCAACCCTTTGTTTCTCCTTATCAGTTAGTAGGCTCTTATACTTGGTCACCTTATTTATTACTGCATACAAGTCTTTATTTTTAGCTAAATCTCCACACTGAATCGCTTTTGTTTCAATTTAGGGGAGAATGATTGAAGCTGAGAAGTTATTTTCATCTGCCTTGGAAGAAGCTAAAAAAGGTTTTGGTGAGCGGGATCCACATGTTGCATCTGCATGTAACAATCTGGTGAGTTTATGTTCTTTGTTACTAAAGAGGAATTGATGACTTGTCCTGGATCAGAAATTGCAAAGGATGTATGTATTTGCAGCGTTTATGCCAGTATTTGTGTGACTGCTAGCTTATTCCTATAGCTTTTCTCTTGCACATGTCGGATTAGAGTATTTAAATATGTATGAATGAAAGAGCTGACTGATTTGCCTCGCTCCTCTTTCCCTTTTATCATTTTCTATCTTTTAGAAGACAGGCTTCAACATTTCCCATTGAATGGATTTCACTTAGTTAAATTGTATTTCAAGTAGTTTGAAGGCTTAGTTGAAATGTATGTTTTGGCTACAAAGCTTGTTTTGGTTTTTTAGTCTTACTTTCAACTTTAACATTCGGATATACCATGTTGCCTAAGATGATTCCCTAGCTCTTTGTTTGGATAACTATAGTGAAGGGAAAGGGAGGGGAGGAAAAGAATAAAAGAGGGGAGGGGAGGGGAGGGAGAAGATCAACTTCTATTTTCCTTCCAATTCTCTCCAACAATGGAGGGATTTAGTTTATTTTAAAGGAAAGGAAAATGGATCCTTTCTATTTTCTCCCCTTCCCTTCTTGCATTAGGTATCCAAACAAAAGATGATGCATCCTTTCTTTTCTCTTCTCTTCCTTTCCCTCCATTTCTCTCTGTCCAAACATAGTGTAGATCTGCGTTACCCCAACACCTTCCTTAGCCATGGGTGTCGCGTGTCGACACGACACGACGCGCGACATGGCTCCCGGAAAGTGTCAACTCGGGGATCGAAAAAGTGTCTGTTATAGGTGTCGACTTCTGATTATCAAGATTTGTAATTAAAAATTTCAGGGTTTAATTCAAAAATCTACCAAAATTTTTAGACAAGAAGAAAGGGAAAAAGGAAAAGGAAGGAGGAAACGCCATTAAAACCGATGAGTTCTTAGATCTGAAATAAAAGAAGAGAGATAAAGTGCATTGTTTGACAGCTGTAAAGAGTAGCACGTGAAGATTTTATGTAATGGGCTTAGAAGGTTTATAACAGATGGCCTAGTGGGACAGTTTTGGACTAGTGGGCCACTAGTCAAGTAATAAGTAGGTAACTAGGTACTGTATTGGATAGGTCAAAAAAAATTATAATAATAAAATTAAAAACCCAAATAAAAATTAATTAAAAATCCTAAATAATGCTACGAGTATAAAATTTTCAGTTTTATGACTTATCTATTTGATATTTTTAAGTGTCGGATTAAATTTTTTGGACACTTTATACAGTAGCCGTTATCCTAAATATTAGTCAAGACACTCCCTTGACCGTGTCGAAGTGTCGACCAAAATTTAGGATTGAGGTGTCAGACACTCTGACACCTTGTCGGACACGACACTTAGAAACGAGTCCGGGTAACATTGGTGTAGATTGAGTCAAGGTGTGAAGTTGATGGTGCTTAGGGAAAGAAACAAACCAGCATATTTATATGATGTAGCCCTCTCATCAAGGTTTTTAGTTCCTTTTTCTTTTCAGGCTTTTGTATAGCTGGAGTCAAATTTTAGGTTATGAGCAATATTTGTCTCTTGATTTTGTGGATGAATCTATAATGTTTTAAGGGCGTGAGTTGTGTTGTCCTTAGTGTCCCAATTCTACATGGGTGACTCTCCTTTGGCATCTTCTTTATATATATATATATTTCTTTGTTACATATCATTATAACTTGTAGGTGGGAGTTAGTATTTTAACTTGTAATTTTTAAGTGTATTTTGTTTTTAAAGATATTATATTTCCGTAAACTCTTTTGTGAGGAGCGTGACTCAATTGTAGCATCTCATTTGGTTACAAAATTCAAATTGAAGTTCCCCAGATTTAAGTTTTAGTTAATCAATTTTTGTGTGTGAAGTTAATCTTGATAATCTGAAGATTCTGAACCCTTTTCTTAATTTGAGGGCTTGGCTGATGAAGCCTTACTATTAACTTTAAATACCCTTAATTTGTTGATTGATGATTATTTAAGACTACGATCAATTCTCAATGGCTCAGTTTTCAAGCAGCTTGTCTTTGCTGGAGGATATTATTTCTTTTTATGTTCTTTAGCCCCCTTTGTTGGGAGTTATATTACTTTCGTTGGAAACTCAACTGTAGATAACATGCGATTTGTGAAATTTCTGAAAAAGTTGTTTCTGCTCATTCACAGGCAGAGCTGTACAGGGTCCAGAAATCATATGATAAAGCAGAGCCCTTGTATATAGATTCTATTAGTATACTTGAGGAAGCATTTGGTCCAGATGATGTGCGGTAAGTTTTTATGCAAGTAATATGCTCTTTCGGGCCGTGTGTCTATTCTTTAGCTGTGCATGTAGATGTCTCACCGTCTAGGCTTGTTTAACTATGATATATTTTGATGCTAATGTATATCTTCTGTGAGCTAGCAATGACTTTTTTGTAGAATAAGTGTTTCCATACCTTGATGAAAATCATGTCATGTGGAGCTTCAAAGGGTGTTATTAACAACACATGCATAGCTTTGGGATTGTTGCGCTGTTGAGATTTTATACATTTCTTATTATTAAAAATAATATTCTTTTCCTCGTCATTCTTCCATCCTTTGGCATTTATTGTACTCATAATTGATTTCTTTTTAAAATTTTGGGATAAAGTACAAATTGTAACTTATTACATACTTCGTAACAAATTGTGAAAGTGAATTGCATGATTATGTGTTGTAATTTTCTCCCTTGCCATTAACCGTAGCTACTCTGTTTGAGCAAGTTCTTATACTACCTTCTTTACATGTTATGTGCAACGATTTGACATAAAGCAGAGAGGAAAAATATCTAATCGTTGCACATAACCTGTAACGGAGGTAGTAAATTATTATATACTAGGCCGGTTCATTTTACTTTTGGTTTGCTTATAATTTTCTTGTTGTTCTCTAAATTGGTAAGTCAAAAATATTTCTTGGCACTTAGGAAGTTAGGAACCATCCATCTGGACCTTTTCCATTATATTGGGGTAGATCCAGCTTGTGTATATACCAATTACATCTGACTCCTCTTCTTAAGTCCTAAGATACTCCGCAATCCAATGAGTCATTGCCCGTAACTGCCATGGCAGATTTTCCTGGAGCTTCCCTGATTCACCCCACCCCCATAGTAGCAGCACATGCGTTGGAATAAAAATCAATTTGAGTGTTCATACATACCTTAGGAGGTTCCATTACCGGAATTTCTTCATGATATTAAACATCATCTTTTGGTTCTCTCATGATCACCTGATTAGACCGGAAAACTTCTCATTCATCTCAAGTAAGCTGTCATTAATCTCCTCATCGAGATGCTTAGCTGCAACCATCATACCTGCCGTGATCTGGTCCGCCACCACTTACCTCATGCTCTGCGGTGCTCCATAAATAACTACCTTGACCTCCACAGTGATGGAGTCATTAGTGGAGTTTAAGAACAGTTTGAATTCCTCTACCTGATTGTAGACCTTCGTTGCCGGTGCCATGGACTATCACTTTGATTAGAGATGGCAATCGGGTTGTCTAGACTATCGGGTCAGGTCATTTTTGTGTAAGTCTCGTTTCAGTTAATTCCAGGTTCAATTCAGGACAAGTTGGGTCATTTTTGGTTCTATTGCCAATATGATTTTTTTGATAATATAATCATGATTAGATACATAAATTATCAAGTCATTTTGGGTTAGGTTGGGTTGGTTTGGATTGAGTCAAAATCAGGTCAAGTGAGTTTGGGTACTGTTCGGGTTTTGGGTCAGGTAATTCAAAAACTTTTGCATGCCCCCGGTTTACAATAACTTTATGAACGATTTCCATAAAAAATGTTGAATTGTAAATTAATTCCCTATTTGCGTTGGTTTAAAAACTTATTCCCATAATATTGTCCACGTAGGATTGGAAAAAGGTTTTTTTTTTTTTTTTTTTTTATAACACGCGACACCCATGGCTAAGGAAGGTGTCGGGGTAACACAATTATAACTGAATTAGTTTTCCTTTTGCTAAATTCTGAATTAGCCTTAACGTTGGAACACAAGGTGGTAGTACGTCAGTAATTCCATTGGATTTTATTAAAGATATTTACAGGTTCAAAGAGAGAATTATTAAAGTGTTACAAAACTTGTATTACAGACCACCCTACTCCTACCTAAATATGCATTAAGGCCATATAAATATGCATTAATAAAATCCAAGAGAATTACTAGCGTGATACCGCCACGTATTCAAACGGTAAGGCTAATTCATAATTTAGTAATGGAAAAACTAATTATGTTATAAAGAAGTTTCAAAACCAGATCAAGTCTTACAACTTTGAACTAATAAGGTCCTTATTCAAAACTCAATAAAAGTGGTAAATAAATCAAACAGAGTTTAAATAAATTCAAATGTAAGAAATAAAATAAATTGTGAATGGTAACCGACACTCCACTCAAAATCTCACCACCTTGATGCTAGTTTTGATTATGTGAAAACTTGTGATTAATTTGCTCCCTATTATTACAAGTGTAAAAATCATTACAGGGTCATTGAAAGACGAGGGCCATGACTAAAGAAAGACATACAAAAGCACCCCATCAGCAACGCCGGTACATACAAGCTACGAAATATAATAAAGAATTCCTAGCATGCTTCTAATAATCGATCATCACATACAATTTAATTATAAAATCAAACACATGACTCTGTTAACATTACTAAAACTTCACTAAATAATACTTTGTAATAATTAAATCATTTTATTTTATTCATTGGATTAAGCAATAGACAAGGTTGTCCTCCCATGCTCCAATTTGAAACATTAGTAAAGAAAAACCCCATGCCTCCTTTCGGAAACATCAATAAACATCCAATGGCAACGAGCGCCACTCCGTGGCCATATCTAGTATGAGATCTCATCTAACTCCTTGTAGTTTTTTAAAAAATATTTGAAACAAGAGACTCGTAGATCAAATGGCCTCTAGATTAGTGCACGGTTCCTGTGTACCTAAAATCCTGATTGTCATTACTCTAGATGTGCACACAAATCCAGAGTATCTTGCACATTACGTGACTTACAAGTTTAAACTTAGTTGACTCATATGTTAAACAATACAATCAATCGAATATCAATCATTCAAGCAATTCAAGTTTCCAATTCAATTCTTGATTTATTAGTGACAAATAATGTTTAATATTAAACCCTTTAATTACCTCGGTGTATAAACACCTTAAGTGCATAAGGCACCTTAAATCCTCAACCTCGTCTTATCAGACTTTAATTATCCATTTCAATAATCATGAGCGAGTATTAAAATAATTCATTCCACATATTCACGTACCTTTGCCTCTAAGCTCATCTTGCAAGTTAATGCATAAATAATACTTATAAAATAAAATAATACACATTTCTTATACTTGAATCAAAACCAACCATCACATCAAGCATTAGTCACAATTACTATCATACGATTTCAACCAATCCACAAGTTCCTAACATGATTCTAAGCTTTCCAAGTCGTTAAACATGCTCCTAAAGTCAAGGTTTTTTGAATCCTTTTACTTAGCTTGAGTAAACGAGTTGGTTGGCCACTTTAGGAACTAGGACTCGCGCTTTACGAAGTCCTCTCTTAAACCAAACAATTACAAATTAATCAATACCCAAGCAATATAAATAACAGCAATACCAAACTATTTTAAAACCCTTTAAACCATTGAAATAATGCCTTTAAATTACTCACAATAATCAAAGTTAATAATTCCATAGTTCAACTATAAGTTTATATGTTGAAATCATGAAAATATAGTTTATAACATGAAATTTCAGTAACTTTAAAGTGAAGATTATAATCTAAAAATTTAGTTTATGATTATTAAACAATCTCATAAACATCTCTACTTGAAATAATCATTAATAGTAGGTTAGAATGTTAAAAATCCAAAAAAATACACTAATTCAATGTAATTAGAGGCATCAAATAAAACTTATAAAATCTGAAAATTTATTCTTAAGATTAGACTTTAAAGTTCAAGGCTTTATAATCATAAAATACCCACAATCATTGTTTTATGAGATAAGGAACATAAAAATATGAAATTAGCACAATTTATTCATAAAATTGAAACTTTAATAAATCTGAAGTATTATGGGAATGTTCGGAAAAATATAGCTGTGAAGGTAGTTGTAGCTGTGGAGGTAGCTCTGAGTTGTGAAGATAAATAATTTACATATGAGTGTTCGGTAAAGTAGCGGTTGACTAGCTGGTACATATAAAAATCAACATTTTATTTTTAAAACTATAGATTAAATTTTCAACAGCTACCTCTAATTTCAAAAGCTAATCTTTCTAACTTTTCATAAAAGCTACCTCCACCACTAAATGCTATCTTAACTACTACTTTTTCAAACACCAACATTTTTTTGTCAAGTAGTGATTTGACTTGGTCAAACCACTAAAAACTACTCAAAAGCTAGCGTCGAACACGCCCTATATGTAATCGAAATAATTATGCTTTAACATAATTTAAACATAGTATGATTAGGTAACTTGATTAGCACGTTTTAAGCCCTAAAATCATGAAAATACAAGGTTTAAGCCCTAGTTTTCTTAACTAACTAAATCTTAAATTTTATTTCATAGTTTAAACATAATAAAATTCATAAATTTATAATCTTTTACAATTTATATGCATAATCAAATAATAGTAATAACAAATTACAACAAAATTTTAATAAAGATTAAGACTTGAATCAATTTAACAAAACAAAAGAGAAATAAATAAAGGAGAGAGAAGGTGGTGAACTGGGTCGCTGGTGGCGGCTGGCAGGCGCGGCGGTGGCCTGAAGTCGGCGACACGACACAGCAGGGTTTGGATTTTTTTATTTTATTTTCTCTGTTTCGGGAGCAGAGCAGTAAAAGAGAGGGAGGGGAATTACGTGAAGAAAGGAAGGGTTTGAGGGTCTTGGGAATTTTTAAATAAGCTTGTGGGCTTGGTTTCCAAATTAGGTAGAAGTAAGAAATGTAGTTTGGGCTTGAATAGGAGTTAAAGGTCTCTTTACTTAAAATTGGGCTACTAAGCTATTGACAAGGTATGTTGTGACTTAAAAGAGAATTTTAAATTAAACAAGTATTTATTAGTTTAATAGAATTCGATTAAATTTTCACATAAAAAATAATTATACTATGAAATCGAAATAAAATATTTGTGTAAATAATAAAGAAATATATTAATGAAGCTAAAATATGGGGGTTTACAAGTTTACCTAAGCTTATTTCTTGACTTGTAGTTCGTCTCCATCGTGTAACTAATTAGATCTCTACGAAGTACATATCGCCCTTATTGGGAAGCTTCATATCACCCATCTAGAAGATAATTTTTTCTTTTGCTTTTGCAATAGGGGGAACAAAATCAACATGCAAAGCTCCCCTTAAGTCCTAAAGATACCATTCTTGACCTTCGGAGTTGTCAAAACATACTTTTCCTTCTTATTCAGCAAACATTTGCTCTTTTTTATCTTCTTGGTCTAGGCATACAGTCAATATTCTATATTCTTTTTAAGTCACCTTGTTGCCACAAACTCTAGAAAAGTCTCCCATGCCTTGACACTTGAAATAAACTTTTCTAGATTTACAACAATCACTTTCCTTTTTAGCTACTTCCTCTTTGTGAAAACCATTTGGAATAGCCTTAAGATTATTCACCCTTGAATTATTCCCATTGAAAAATGGCTTTTCCCTTAAAATAAGAATTGTTTTTTTTTTTTTTTTTTTTTTTTAAATCTTTTCCCTCTCAAACTTCTCAAAATTTTCAGCTAATCTCAAGACATCACTGAAGAACACATACTTTGATGTTTCTACTTGTGTGCAATAGAAGGTGTGAATCCCTTCATGCATTTTCCTTGAAATCACAAAGCATGCACTATTTCTCAAACTCTTTAGTGTATTAAGAAACACTAAGATTTTTTGGTTCAAGGTCATTCAATTCAAGACCTGATCTTGGATGTATACTCGTGGTAGGAATCATTTCTTTAATTGCCTCTTCAACTCACTCCAAGTATCAATTCGAGCAGTGGCGGATCTAGCGGGGGTTCAACTGAACCCCGTTAGATCCGGGAAAAAATGGAATTATTAAAAAAAAAAAACAAAAAAACTATATGAATAATATTCGAAGGGTAAATATACCTTGTCTAACTTGCAGCTCAGTTGGTTAGGCTAGAAATATTTGGACAGAAGGTCCTAGGTTCGAATGTCAGCGGGATGCATTTGAGTTATTTTTTTTTTCTTTGTAAATTTTCTCCACCATGCTGTGTTTACTCAGCTTCTCTTTCTTTTTTCTTTTTTTCTTTTTTTTTTTTTTTTTCTTTGGAGTGGTCTTCGAGTTCCACTAAGCTAGTAGATGATATAAAATATGTTTTTTTTTTCTATTCTTTTATTATTTTTTCTTAATGTCACGTGATTTTAGTAGAATATTTTAGATTTTTTTGTTATTTTTTAAAAACTTTTTCACCGGTTGAGTTATCAACAGTCTTACAGTAGTAGTAGGTAGGTTTTTTTAAAAAATTAATTATGTGTATCCATGTCGTACCCGTTTTTTGAAATTTTGATTTTATCGTATTTCGTCCCGTGTCCGTACCTGTTTATATATCCATATCCGTTTTCGTGCAACTTTGGTACTGATTAATTTTTTTTTAATTATTGTAATGTGTGACCATGAAAATTTTAATTATTGTATATTTGGACTTATTTTGTTGTGTACTTGTGTATTGGTATTTATTAGAACACTCTATTTTATACTTAAATACTCGATTTATATCTGTGCATTCGGACATCGGGTGTTTGATGAAGTTCGAACCCCCTAGGTACAATTTCTGGATCCGCCACTAAATTCGAGTCTCATTGTCCCTCATCCTTTAGGCACGCAGATCTCAAACCATATAGAAGCATATCTCCTTTGCAACTTTATAGGCCCCCAATTGAGTACCTAAATAAAGAAACTTTTTGAGGACCAATTTTTCCTCTTCACAACGAGGAAAGAAAAAATAAAAATTACCAACAGCTTATGACAAGTATTTTGCCTCTTTGATTCATATTCTTTGTGCAATGCTCTATAAGGAAGAAAATAAGTTGATATGAAGCACAAGAGTTTAATTACCTACAGTTTCCAAATCTATTTATTTGTTTATCTGCAATTACCTGATGCTCTTGTTGTTTTATTTTTCTGTTTATATAAGGGAACTATTAAAAAAGTAAAATTATGGTTTATGCTATCTCCTTCTGAATTATTGAGCAACTTCAAACCAGTTTGGTGTCAGGTAGTGAATAATCTCAATTTACCTTATCTGCAGATTTATATAAAGTCAAAAAATCAACTTGGGGAGGCTGAGAACATTCAAAGAAAGATTTTGCACATCATGGAGTTGACCAAGGTGCAGTTCATTTCTGTCCAGTTTGATTTCTTAGATTTTTTTTTGGTTCAATATGTGTTGTTTCTTGCTTTTCATCTTTGTTTTATTGTTTAAAGAGCGGCTTCAATGCTGCAAAAGAAAAGCTAGTTACAGAAACAAATGTTCTTCCCCCCTTTTCTCAATTATACCCTTGTTTTTAACCCCTAATGTGTCATAATACTAGAGTAGCCTTGCATATTGCAATTTTTTCCTTGAGCTATGTTGCCAATTTTGGATTCTGAGAAACATACCTAATCTCACTTTATTTCTTAAAAGGGGCAGGGAAACATCTAGAATAATGGACAATTAGACACCCAAGGGAGGAAGCAGGGGTGGGGTGGTACGCTCACAATTTCTGGGAAGATGTCTTCTGCAAGTTTGCAACCCCTCTTCCATTTCATGTTAATAGTTAATTATTTTTTCACTTCAATAATACTCCCTCTCTTCTTTTTTGGTCTTCCGATTTTTTGTAGCATCTGAACCAAGGGAAAGAGAAAGTTAATGGAAAGTGGATACCTTTTTGGGTTTGGAAGTGAAAGTTGGTAAGTGACATGGGGTTAAGGAGGGTAAAAGAAATTTCTTTTCCCAAGAATCAAGAAAAAGCTGAAAGGTCAATGAAAAATACCCCTTAACCAAAAGTGGGAAATTTTAAAAAAAAAAAATAACAATACAGGAAGTATACTAAATTAAGTAATGCAAACCTGAGCGAAATTCAATTCGAATGTCACCATGGTCCATGGTTGTCATCCATTGTTGTATGTGAAGTGTGATTTAAAAGACAATAATAATGACATGATCAACGAAGTGGTAGAAATTGTTTGTGGTGCGATTTAATACTAGTGTTAAGATCAACATTGTTTAGTTCTCTGTAATTTTTTTAAATTAAACTTCGTCTTATGAATTCAAAAGGATATTTGGAAGGAGCTTTAATTTTTATATAGTTACTAAGTGTTTATTTTTAAGTTTTTGTTTTAACTTTTGTTTTTGTTTTTGTTTTCCCCCCTCTTACTATCACCGAATTTAAACTGACAACGATTTTTATTTATTAATTTTATTTTACGTAAATTTAAATGCATGTTCAAAGATATTAGGAGTAATATTAGTTTAATCTTCCATTCATCCTTCCTTGAAATTTACATGAAGTACTTATTCTGTATGAAATCATTGAGTTTTGAATTGATGCTCTGCATAGTTTTTTTTATGTCAATGGTAGCTCCTTTTTTGCAAAAAAATCTTAGGCGTGTTTGTATAACAAATTAGGGTTTTAGAGTATCGTTTTATTGATTCGTTGGGCAAGTTAAAAGAGTTGTATTTGTGTCATGATTATAAAATGCAATACAATCTTTTATATGCATCACTTTATTATCACTAGATTTTCTTATATTGGTGATAAATACGTGTCTTAGGAATGAATCAATAACTATATACTAAAAGACTCACCAGCAATAACAAGTGTCATCTTCTAGTATTCTTTTAACATAATTATGATGATTATTACTTTGGGAAAAATGATGTCTCTCCACGATTTTGTTATCAAGTATTCTTAGAAATATTCAATATAAATTTTTTTCTTCCTATTTTGCAAACATATTTCATCTTTATATAATCAACTAAAATTCTTTCATAATTTTTGATAGACATTATAATTAATTATTAGGTATTACGAGCATATGCTATTCAAAAAAATTATGAATTTAAAGAATATACGAAGTTACGAGTATATGATTATAAATCTCTATTATATATAGGTGAAAGTAGGTGGGAAAAGTGAAAACTTTGAAAAGTTGGTGTCTAAATTTTGAATTTCTTATAATTTACTCCCCTACTTTATTAAGTTCAAATATATATATATATATATATATATATATATATATATATAAAATGATTAGAAGTGCAAGATTATCGTAAAGTTTTTTTTTATTTTCAAATAAAGTTTATAATGATTATGTATACACCAAAATAATAATAATTTTCAAATAAAATCCCATATACAGATTATTTTAAAAAATAATTAAGTATTTAAATTTGATGTTATTCCATACAACTAAAATGATGTAAAAGTGCATGGTTAATAATTATGTTATTTTAAAAATAAATCGAGTATACCAACTAAAATTTACTCCATACAAGATCATTTCTAACCTAAAAGGTGAGGTGAAAGTGATGATTACCATGCATTTTCTATTTTCCATATACATGGAAGTTTCATAATTGCATTAGAAATTTAGAAGACTATGTCATTAATGACTTAATGTTGTAGGTTGCTAGCCATATGGTGTTTCCACATATGTTTATAATAGTAATCTTTATTCATTGTCATGAGTAAACTCATTTATTCATAAGAGTAACTCAATTTGTTTATATAAGTAACTTAACTCCACTGTACAAGTAATATAAATTAAGTAAAAAAAGTAACCTCATTTCTTCATTCAAGTACCCCTATTATTTTATTTTGACTAATACATTATAATTAATAAATTATTATTCCACTTTTGAATGAGAGTAATCTCATTTCCTATTGAAGTAATCCACATTCGTTAAGATAACCCCATTTTTCCGTTGAAGTAACCTTATCCACATGAGAGTTTGTGCAAATCTTATATACTTCCTCCGTTTTTTTTTTTTTTTTTTTTTTTTACACCACTTTCTTTTTAAATAAGTTTTACAAACATTGCACCATATCTATTTAAGGAAACAAAATATCTCTGTTCATATTGCAAACACCCAATATACCCTTACTCTTAACACTTGGTTCTTTAGTTTATGCTTACAACACATGGTTAGTTTTGTACTTCTACGGTTCTACCCCTCGCTCTCATCCTTTTTTCCACTACCAAAATAATTGTGCCTAACCTATATGGTGTGATAATAAAAGAACGGAGAAAGTATCTTGAATCCTTGATATTATAAATTAAGTTTTGTTTTCTAATTGTATGAGACTAGTTGCACTAATTTATTTTCAATTAATAAACATTATATTTATATCAATCTATATCATGTTAATTTATAATCCAGGAATTCTAAATTTGATAATTGCTCAATAAGGAGTGATCAACGAATCACTTTTGCTGGAAATTCAGATGGTTTGTAGCTATCGCAACCTGTCACAGTTGCACCATTGCGGTAAGCTCAAAGTCTTTTACGGTGTGATGCTGTGGCTGCAATTATTACCCTACTATATAATTGACTTGGTGTGACAAAAATCAGCAAGGGTTCCAGTGAGAAGCTAGATTAGTAGATTAGGGTTTTTTTTAGTTTAGTTTTCTTAATTCAAGCTATCTCTGAGAATTACTATTCAGATATTATGCATATGAGACTTTAAAATTGTGTCCTAAAGTTTCTAAGCATTATTTTTTATTCATGTCATTTTTTTATATACTCCATCAGAAATTTATAGTCAAATTTAATCTTTGAAAAATTTCTAGTGTTTAACTTCAGGAACAATATGGTTGTGACTTAAGACATTCTAGCTTTAGATAGGTAGATAAATCTGTATCATGAGATTGGTACTCTTTAGGTTTTTTATGATCTTTCTGAGACAGTCAAACTAAGATTCCAGTTGCACTACATTATATTATATCTCAACGTTAGACTGATCGTTAGGTGTTTCGGGTGAAAACAATGGGACCTTGCCGAAGGTCCGAAGATGTGGATGAAGACTGACTCGGTCCAAATGATGCTGGGCCGAGGGTTTTCTGCACAACAAACACACGTAAACTGGCCTCGGGGGTTGTACCGAGGAAGGCCCCTCCGATGCCGAAGTCAAACAGTGTTTAGAGAGAGAAAGCTATGCAAGAGTATTAATTGCTTGAGGCTTGAATGTGAATGAATGATAAATGATGTAATTGAAGGCTTTTATACCTTAGCATGACAAGGAGAGAAGATGGGCTTGAGGTCATATGGGCTGACCATGATGACTTGGGCCGTTGACTTGAGATTGACTTGGCAGGATTGGAGGCTTGGGCCTTGACCTTGACTTGGATTGAATCATTTTATGTCCGGGCCCAATTAGGCATAATTGAACCCAAACAACTTGCCCCCAGACCCGATTTGGAAGGATGACGGGGTCGGGTTTGAATTTAACAAAAATGGAGGGAAGTAAATGATTTAATTAAATAAAAAAGATTTAAATTTTAAACAATCATTAACGAAATAACTGTAATTAGGATGATTAGTGGGAAGTTGGACGGATAATGGGCGGTTAATTAAAAGGGAGTGTGTTTAACGGTTACTTAGTGAGGCATTTCAGAGAAATTAAGCATACTGACTCTCGAAATTCCTATTTCTGGGAATATAAGGCCGGATTTGCGCTCTCTCTCCTCATTTCTTCACCAATTCACACTCGAACTCCCTCTGTTCCGCTTCAAAACTTCACTCAACACCCCGAAATCAAGGCTTGAAGTCAGTATTCGTTGCTCCGACTAGTTTAATCGGCGAATTCCGTTCCATATAAAGGTAAATTTCTTCGAATTTCCTTCGACTTTCTTAAATTTTTGAAAGAGTTCCCCTTTTTTCGACTTTTCTCTTTGCGAATCCGACAATGACTAGAGGAAGAGGACGAGGGACCCAAGGGACCGCGCCGACGTCTGGAACGGGGAGAGAGTAAGGGAAGACCCGGAAGTGGGTATTTCGGTCACTCCTCTGAACGCTGCACCACCCCGGTAAGAGGCTGGTGGCGCTGAGCAGGAGGAGCTTCTGCCTGTTGTGCCTTGGAACTTGCTCCCTGGGCACGTTGAGTGGCAAAATGACGAAGCCATTGCGGCTATGGCACGCTGAAGCCTATCGGTTCGCCGAACAGATAGAGCTGCATTACAGTATTTTTGAAGAGAATGGGTACTGGTGCGGAATGCCCGCGCCTACTGATAGAATTCATCGTCCAACCCCTAGATATGTGGGGGTGTACACTCGACAATTACAGTTGGGCTTCGATTTCCTTTCATCAGGGACATTCTGATAAAGTACAAGATCTTCATGTGCCAATTGACACCCGTCAGCATTCGGCGGGTGATGACATATCCTGGATCTGCCGGTTCTTTGCTGTTGAGCCGAACCTGCACTGTTTCCGAAAATTGCACAAGCTAATGCCGAATACCCAGAGCCGATATGGTCAACATGGCTCCGGCTGGTGGCGCATTGAGAGCCATCCACAGTACTTAACTATGTGGTCGAATGATTCTTCGGATAAGGATTGGAGAGGCCAATGGATATGGGTAAGGGCTCCAGCGGATCCAGAGCACCCTCACTTCTTCGGGGCTCCCCGCTACCTCTCTAAACCTGACCCGAACATGCAAGATTTGGGTCCTGAAGACCCTGATGCCATTCGTCACCCCAGCTACGAGCAGATTAACTTTTTCGGGAAGCAAGAAAATCTCGGGGAGACCGGCCGAATGAAGTTCATCCCATCGAGATGGCTTCCGAACGAGATGGCTTCTGGACAACCATTATGTCTTCCAAGAGAAGATGTTGGCGGTTGTAGGCCTCAGCCGAAAGCATAGAGGCGGTAAGTACCTTCGGCTGGGGTCGAGAACTTGCTTTATTTGCTTTTTCGCTTTATTTTTAATGTCTGCCCCATTGAGCTAACTCTTTCACTTTGCCCTTTAGCGAGGCCACTTCAGGGATCGACTACGATCGGCTAGGAGTGAACGCTGAAAGGGTCATCTTAGACCGGCTCCCGCTATCAAAGGACCGTCCGCTGCACCTGCATTCGACAGGCCTTCAGATTGAAGCTGCTGCAGATTATTTGAAGCAGAATCCTTGGTAGGAAAAGCGAGATCCATTGAGGCATTTGCTGCCTAAAGAAGAATTCCTCTAGGGCGATTGAAGCCTTAAAAGGAGGTGAAGGTACCTCTGGTGCTGCCGAGCAAGGGGCTTCCGCAGCCGAGGACTTTGCTGAGTTCCTTAACATTTTGCTTTCGTTGTTGCATGGTTTTTTTTTTTTTAACTCGAGCCCTTCCTGCCCCCTACTTCTGCAGTCTGAAGAAGGAGGCAGAAGGAGAGAAGGGAAAGCTCCTGCTCATCCCGAAGACTTGCCATCGTCTGAATCTGATGAATCTGATATGGACGAGCAGCCTATGGCAAGAGAAGGAGGACGAGGATAGCAGGGTCCTCGTCTACTGGAGGCATCAGCATAAGGGACGATGAAGGTAGAGGCTCACCGAGGGCTCCCCCTCCGCCACAAAACCCTCCTCCCCGAACCCCTCCGCCACCTCCCGAAACTCGAGAAATGAAGGTGGATCAAAGAACTCCTGACCCGAAAGGGGGGGTTCAGGGGGAAGATCTGAACCAAGAGAGTGCCGCAAGGCATTTTGCTGAAGCTGCTGAGAAACCCGGTGCTGGGGTTTCTCGGCCGATATTGAGAGGGAGGTTCACGCGCTAATCCGTGAACCTGAGACTGGAGAGGAAGGGGAGGTGCGGTTGTCGACCTAGGTGGAGATCAGCTGGGCTCCACTGATGGAGAAAAGAAGGATGCTGAGCCAGATAAGGTTCAGGAGGTTCCCTCGTCTTCCTTTCCTTCATTCCAGACACTCATTCTGGAGATATGGGTTTCTCGGCCCCCCGCATTTCAATCCCCGACAACGTTTGGGAACTTATCTGGGTCAGAACCGAGAAGGAGATGCGGCCTACTTCGGCGACCTTACGGGTATGTCGGAGGTAGATCAAGCCAGGGCGTGGTCACTTCAGGCCACTACTAGAATGGGGGAATCCAGCTGAAGGCTCCCCGACCCTGCCAGAGATAATCAGGGACTGCTGATGCAGGTACTTTGCCGTTTATTTTCCTCTTTCGCGAGTTCAGCTCTTAAGTTCAATTTTTATTATTTTTTTTAACTGACGTGTCCCTGCAATCAAGTTGTGCACAATCAGACTCTCACTGTAGAGCTGATAGACACTCTCCAGGACAAACTGGAGAATGCCTGGGAGGACACAAAGATTGCCCAAAAAGAGGCAAAGCTGGCAATGCTGAACCAGCAGGCTGCTAAAGAGAAGCAGGCCGAGGCTGAGAAATACGAGAAGCAGGCTGCCAAGCCCTTCAGACCTTCTGCCATGCCATGGAGACTGAAGTCTTTCCAACTCTAATGGCCGGCCGGAGAGAAGATCATCTATGAGTTCGGGGCCTTCGACATCCCTGGCTTCAAAGCGGCCATTGCGCGCCGAGTGGCTGATGAGGCGGCTGGGCAAGTCCAAGAGATGCAGCTGGAATCTAGTAAGATGGGCACTCTAGGGACGATCAGCTTTCCGCAGCTCGAGCTGCTGAGGCCCAGGATCAGAAGCTGCAAGATCTGGGGTTCACTTGGAGCTAAATGAACAGAAGACCGAACTCACTGATGAGTTGGACAAATCCAAAAAAGATTTGGAGGAGAGTCAAAAGAAGCTGGCTGATGCTGAAGCCTTGCTCCAAGTCCGCCTCTATTGTAATACCCCAATAATTCTCTCTTAAAACATGTAAATACCTTGAACAAAATCCAAGAGAATTACTGACGTGTTACCGCCGCGTGTTCAAACGTTAAGGCTATGTCAGAAATTAGCAGCGGAAAAACTAACTCATTTAAAAATAAGTTTCAAAACCAATAACCAAAATCAAATTAAATGATACAAGCTGGAACCATTAAGGCCCTTATTCAAAACCCAACAAAAGTAGTAAATAAATAAAACCAGAGTTTAAAAAAATTCAAACTTATGAAAAGAAATAAACAGCGAATAATAACCAACTCTCCACTCAAAATCCTACAACCCCGATGCAAATGTTGCATGTGTAAGAACATATGGTTAATCTGCTCCCCAATATTACAAGTCTAAATATTGGATCGTCAGAGGGTCATTGAAAGGCGAAGGCCATGACCAAAGAAAGACACACACAAAAGCACGCAATCAGCAAAGCTGAGTACATACAAGCTGCGAAATAAAATAAGAAATCCCTAACAAGCTACTAATAATCAATCATCACGCATCACACATGACTCAACTATTTACATTACTAAGACTTCATTGATTAAAAATATAGGTAAATCATTATTTTTATTCATTGGATTACGTAATAGATAAGGTTGTCCAACCCATGTCCCATTTGGAACATCAATAAAAGAAAAACCCCATGCCTTCTTTCGGAAACATCAATAAACATCCAACGACCACGGGCGCGACTTCGTGACCGTAGTTAGTATGAGATCTCACCTAACTCCTAGTTTTAAAAAATATTTGAAATAGGAGACTCGTAGATCAGACGGCCTCGATAAAAGTACACAGTTAATACCCCGTGTACCCCAACCTGATTGTCATTACTCCAGAAGTGCACCAATCCAGAGTTTTATTGCTCATCCATCTTGCACTTTACGTGATTTACAGGTTTAGACTTGGTGATGACTCATATGCATAACAATAC